ACTACAATTTTCATCATTGTTTTGTAGTTCTCTTTGTAGAGATCTTTCACCTCCTTGGTTAGGTGTATTCCGAGGTAGCCAAACTGTCTTCTAAGTGGCTGTACCATTTTTTATTCCCATCAGTGATGAATGAGAGTTTCTGTTGCTCCACATCCTTACTAGCATTTTCTGTTGTCAGTGTTCTGGATTTTGGCCATTCTGATAGGTGTGTAGTGGTATCTCCTTGTTTTGATTCTCAATTTTCTAAGGACATATGATGTAGGACAGTTTTTCAGATGCTATTTGCCATCTATATATCTCCTTTGGTAAGGGATCTGTCCAGAGTTTATGTGTTGTTTGATTTAAGTTTATAATAATTGTGTGACTTCAGGATACCATCACTTTTGTCTGTTTAGATAGTTAAATTTCTAAAGTGTCTACTTTGTTATAAACGAGATTCTTCCCACTCGACTTATAAACTATTTGTGATAATAGTAGTAGTAGTGGTGGTGGTGGTGGTGGTGGTGGTGGTGGTGGTGGTGGTGGTAGTAGTAATTGTAATAATAATAAAGAATAGCAGCTACCATTTGACCTGTGCTTACCTCAGGCCAGGCACTGTCTAAGTGAATTATTATTTCTAATCTTCTCAGAAGAATGGAAGCTGTTGAAGGTAAGGACATTGTCTTATTCACTGCAGTATTCCTAGTACCACTAGCTACACCTGCCATATAAGAGCTGCTCAATAAATATTTGTCAAATAAATAATTATGTATATTTTTTGCCATTTTAGCAATGACGAATGTATTTTAGAGTGATTAAAGCACGTCCCCAAGGATAGACTTTTAGTAATGGAATTGGAATTCAAATCTGTGTGAGATGATTGTTATTTTGGCAGTGAGGATGTGCTAATCTGATTGCAACCAAACATGTGTAGCAATACAGCATTAATTATTATTGCTTTAAGTCACATTGGCAAATTTTTTCTTAAAAAGTCAGATAGTAAATAGTTTAGACTTTGCGAGTCAAATGCTTTCTGTTGAAACTACTAAAGTCTGCTGTTGTTGATGAAAGCAGCCATAGATAATGCATCAATGCATGGGTGTGACTGTGTTCCAGTAGAACTTGATATGAAGAAACAGGTGGCAGGTCAGATCTGGTTCACTGTAGTGGTAGTTTGTGTAGCTTTCTAACCACTGCTTTAGGTGATTCCTGCCACCAAATGACACAAGTAATTGCATATGCAGGTGGGAGCCCTGAAATTGCATAGCAGTACTTGTAGTATAGTGGTCATGCAGATGATTCAGAATATATTTGTATGAATTTTTTCCAAGATTGATCTGGAAACAAAAACAAAATTTAGAAAATAGTCATGAAGGACTTAGAGATCTCTAGGAATTCTTATCCTTGGAAAAAGGACAAGAATTACTTGGAGAAAAAGTGATGTAAAGTAATAGTAAAAGTAGAAAAAAGATATAATCAATGAGATATATTATAAAAGACAACATGCTATTCTTTATTTTAATCTGTGTTTAGTATTTAAATTTGTATTATTTAGGGAGAAACCAAGATTGGAGAGGAGCAAACTTTTGCATTTATTTATTGATTGATTTGTGAGAAAGCAGGATTTATTGAGAGGACAGAAGAGCTCCCACAGTGGGAGGGGACCCGAAGGGGTTGCCCCTTTATTTGTTTTTGCCTTGGAATCTCACTCTGTCACCCAACCTGGAGTGCAGTGGCACGCTCACGGCTATTTTATCCTAGGCTTTCTGTGCTCAAGTGATCCTTCAGCCTCAGCTTTCCAAGTAGCTGGAACTATAGGCGCATGCCACCACACCTGGATAGTTTTTTGATTTATTGTAGAGACAAAGTCTCGCCAAGTTGCCCAGGTTGGTCTTGAATCCCTGGGCTCAGGCAATCCTGAGGCCTCCGCCTCCCAAAGTGCTGGGATTGCAGGCATGAGCCATTGCATCCAGCTATAGGCTGCAGGTACCAAGTCTAGGTCTCTAGATTTTATTAGATTTTTGCTGTTTTCTGTTGATTTTTCTTTTCATTTTTTTTGAGTTGAAGTCTCACTCCATCACCCAGACTGGAGTGCAATGTCACGCTCACGGCCACCCCAGCATCTACTTGCTGGGCTCTGACGATCCTTCTGTCTCAGCCTTCCAAGTAGGTGGAACTACAGACACACGCCACCACACCCAGCAGATTTTTGTGATTTATTGTAGAGACAAGTTCTCACCAAGTTGCCCAGGCTAGTCTTGAATCTTGTTGTTTTTTCTTTGGCTTACTTTCTGCTTGAAATTATTTTCATCTTGGGGACAAATTATTAAATAACCAAAGGTGTGTTAAAGCCTACTTGGTAACATTTCAATGGTCTAGGACAGGGCTAGTCTTAATTATCAAAATACTAAATGCACAATGTTGAGGAATATATTTATATTTAAAATTGTCTTTAGGACATACTATAGCTAAACTTTTTTCTTCAAATAAAAGTATATTTGTCACAAGGGGGTACATAAAACTAGACAGAAATGTGCAGAAAATTTAAGTGTGTAGACACCTAAAACTCTTTGTAAAATTGGGAAAATTTGCCATATGACCTAGTTACTTCTCTTTTTTTTTTTTTTGAGTTAGAGTCTCACTCTGTCGCCAAGACTGGAATGCAGTGGCACACTCCCAGCCACCGCAACCTCAACCTGCTGGGCTCCGGCAATCCTTCCGCCTCAACCTTCCCAGTAGCCAGAACTATAGGCGTGCGCTACCATGCCCAGCCAGTTTTTTATTTATTAAGAGATGAGGTCTCGCCAAGTTGCCTGGGTGAGTCTCGAAGCCGCGGGCTCAGGCAATCCTTTCGCCTCGGCCTCCCAAAGTGCTGGGATTATAAGCTGAGCCACTGAGCCCGGCCTGACCTAGTTACTTCGTAACCTCTTTGCCTTAGTTTCCTCATCTGTAAATATTCTAGAGCCTGGGAAGTCTGAAATCACAATGTCAACATGGTCAGGATCTGGTAAGGGCCCTTTTCCCATAACTAAACTTTTTATAACCAGGTAACTTGCTTTAAAGGATGTGTAGTTTGTAGTCATCGTTTAATTTTTGATTCCAACATATTTGAGAATGACGTATGGCAGTTTACAAGTGTTTAATCATATTCAGAATGATTTACAACAATTTAATCTACTTAGGGAGATTATTTGGCTTATGCTCTTTGTCTAGATGTTTTTTTCTTCATAGAGTAAGACAGACTTCAGTGGAAATTGTCACAAAATTTGTATCAATAGTGTACACGTAATGGACTGTTTGTGTTCTAGCTTTTTAGGCATAGAGATTTGAAAATATAGCCGGGCTCGGTGGCTCAGCCTGTAATCCCGTGCCTTGGGAGGCTGAGGTGAGTGGATTGCCTGAGCCTGTGGGTTTGAGACCCGCCTGGGCAACTTGGCGAGATCTCATCTCTACAATAAATCAAAAAGATTAGCCGGGTGGGGTAGCGCGCACCTGTAGTTCCAGCTACTTGGAAGGCTGAGGTGGAAGGATTGCCAGAGCCCAGCAGATGGAGGCTGTGGTGGCTGGGAGCGGCCACTGCACTGTACAGTTTGGGTGACAGAGTGAGACTCCAACTCAAAAAAAAAAGAAGAAGAAAATATGCCTCTCCAACAACTATGTAAGAAGTTTAATGAAAGGCCTGGGATTCTACTCTACTCCTGAGTTGTATGTTCTTGAGCAAGTTAGTATTCTTTTCTAGGCATCTGTTTCCTAATTTGTAAAATGGGGATAATAATACCAGCAGACAGGGTTTTTGTGTGAATTAAATGAGATAATGCATGTAAAAGTTTTAACAAAGGCTATTGGCATAGCCTGAGTCTGCTAATATAAACTACTGTTGCTATGTGATAGAAAGTTTATATTTAGGAACTTTTTTGGTTTGGGGATGAATAGCTTTTTAATTAAATATAAAAATATAATATTTAATTTATATATTTTAATATATAAGATAACTGTTCTCTTGTTCTTTTTTATAGACTTTCATTTATTTTCATTCTTGCTTTTTTTTTTTTTATTTTTGAGTGGGAGTCTTACTCTGTCACCTAGGCTGGAGTACTGTGGTGCAATCATAGCTCACTGTACCTTTGACCTCCTGGGCTCAGGTGATCCTTCCTCCCAGCTGCCCAAGTTGCTGGGAGTACAGGTGTGCACCACCATACCTGGCTAACTTATTTTTATCTTTTTGTAGAGATGAGTTCTTGCTGTGTTGCCTAGGCTGCTCTCTAGCTCCTGGACTCAAGCCTCAGTCTCCCAAAGTACTGGGATTATAGGCATGAGCCACTGTGACCAGCTTTTTTCATTTGTTTTCTAAATAATATTTAGTAACATGTTTACCTGTTAATATATAAAACAGTGGTGATAGGGGAAACTGTCGACTAATCCAAGACTCTGCAGAGAAAATCATCAAAGTTAGAAATAAGATAACCCGATATTTTTGGTACAGGAAGCAAATGTATAAGCTTACTTAAGTATTTTTTTTTTTTTGAGTTGGAGTCTCACTCTGTCGCCCAGACTGGAGGGCAGTGGCTGCTCTCGGCCACCGCAGCCTCAACCTGCTGGACTCTGGCAATCCTTCCGCCTCAGCCTTCCAAGAAGCTGGAACTACAGGCACGCGCTACCACACCCAGCTAATTTTTGATTTATTGTAGAGATGAGGTCTCGCCAACTTGCCCTGGTGGGTGTCGAACCTGCGGGCTCAGGCAATCCACTCACCTCAGTCTCCCAAAGCGAGGGATTACAGGCTGAGCCACCGATCCCAGCTTACTTAAGTATTATTGACTTATTAATATTTTAGAAGCTATCAAATAAAAGAACAATGGTTTATCTTTTTTCTGTTTCAGGCTTCCAGTTTATTTTACTGATACTGTCTTAAAAAATGCATTTGCAACTTGGTTTCCTGTGTCTCTTCACAATACAATGATTAGCACTTGGTTGAGTTGTCAAATTATACAGTGATTTATTGTCTCTTTCTTTGTCTCTAGAATGATTGAGGAAAGTGGGAACAAGCGGAAGACCATGGCAGAGAAGAGGCAGCTGTTCATAGAAATGCGTGAGTCTTGAGTGCTTCTAGGGTCCTTGTTCGTATTTGTGGGAATTTTTTTTTCCTATTAAATCATAGCTTTAGTCATTTACAAATTTTATATTATATGCTTTTTTTTTTGAGTTGGAGTGTCACTCTGTTGCTGACACACTCACGGCCACCCCAGCATCAGCCTGCTGGTCTCTGGCAATCCTTCTGCCTCAGCCCTCCAAGTAGCTGGAACTACAGGCATGTGCTACCACACCCAGCTAATTTGAGTTATTGTAGAGATGAGATCTCACAAAGTTGCCAGGGCTGTTCTTGAACCAGCAGGCTCAGGCAGTCCACTCTCCTTCGCCTCCCAAAGTGCTGGGATTACAGGCTGAGCCACCGAGCCTGGCCATAAGCTTTATTGATATATATTTTGAGATAGAATTTTACTTGGTTGTCTAGGCTGTAATGCAGTGGCATGATCAGCTCACTGTAATCTCCTGGGCTCAAGTGATCCTCCCATCTCAGCTTCCTGAGTAGCTGGGAATACAGGAACAGGCCACCATACCAAGTGAGTTTTTTTTTTTTTGTAGAGACAAGTCTCACTTTGTTGCCAGGCTGGTCTGGAACTCCTGGCCTCAAGCGATGCTTCTGCCTCCGTCTCCCAAAGTGCTAGGATTACGGGTGTGAGCCACTCCACCCGGCTACATTATGAGCTTTAAAGAGGAAAGAATAGGAGTTAAAAAACATATTTGAATTGCATTGACTTGAATTGTTTTCTTAAGCAAGACCATAAATAATATGGCAGATTGGGAGGCTGAGGTGGGAGGATTGCCTAAGCCCACAGGTTTGAGACTAGCCTGGACATTTTGGCAAGACCTCATCTCTACAATAAATCAAAAAATTAACTGGGCATGGTGTGCCTGTAGTTCCATCTACTTGGAAGACTGAGGTGGAAGGATGACTGGAGCCCAGCAGGTCAAGGCTACAGTGGCCGGGAGTGTGCCACTGCCCTCCATCCTGGATGACAGAGTGAGACTCCAACTCAAAATAATAATAATAATAATATGGCAGAAATGCTACCTAGAATATATGTGATTTTAAGTCATGCCAGTCTGTTTAGATCTCTTGCTGTATTTCTATCGTTGCCATGTGCTTGCATGTGGTGATTAATAATTAATATTAATACATGATATACATTACCTTCCACTAGATACCAATTCTAAGGTAGAGAGGACTAAGTGTTAGAATAACACCTAGAGCTATTGGAAAAAACTAAAAAAGAATGAATGTGTATTTTGGTATTTCTAAATTTTAAATCTTCTGCTAAAAATTATATTCTTATATGAAATTCAAACAAAGAGGAGATATCTGGGCATGATGGGTCATGCCTGTAATCCTAGCATTTTGATAGGCCAAGACTGAAGAATTACTTGAGCCTAGGAATTTGAGACCGGATTGGGCAACATAGTGAGACTTCATCTCTACATAAAATTAAAAAAAAAAAATTTAGCTAGGTGTGCTGGCGTGTGTCTGTAGTCCCAGCTAGTCAGAATTCTGAGGCAGAAGGATTGCCTGAGGCTAGGAGGTAGAGTCTGCAGTGAGCCCTGGTGGTGCAACTGCACTGTGGTCTGGGCAACATAGTGAGACCCCAACTGAAAAAAAGAGAGCAAAAGATGGCTGAGAGGAGTGGGGTGTTCCCTATAATTGAAGAGTTGTTTTGCTCTGTGACTACTTGTCTTTGTGACCTTGTCCAACTCACATTTGCGGGACTTCAAATTCCTTTGCCATGAAATAGGGTTACATACTGGTCTGGACCAGTGATTATGAAACCTTTTAAAAGCACTGTACCTCTTTTTCTCCCCATGAAATCTTATGATGTTCCTCAACATAGGAGTGTTATAAAATTGGTAGTGCATATTTGAAGCAGGAGAGGGGAGGCAGAGGGCAGACTTGGGATAACCCCTGAAGTACTTGCAGAATTCTAGAATTTCATATGCCACAATATGAAAATCTGTGTATAAAATCTCAGAAGAACCAACTCTCAACATACTTCAGCTTTTTAGAATCTTAATCATAGGAGGCAGAGTTTGATTCAACTCAGTCCTGTATTGTCTTGTCAATTAAAATGGATAACTATTTGTTAGAGATGGTAGAGAAGAAATTTTGGCTTTGAGTAGGCATCGGGCCTGGGTGATCTTTAAAGACTTTTATAGTTCTTAGTCTCTAATTGTTATCATTCACACCAGACACTTCAGAGTCACTTTTCTCCACCTCCTAAGGAATCACAAAATGCAGATGAGTTTTACCTCATAAATGGTCTTGAATTTGTATTTTCCTCATACCACAATGGCTTTGAGTCCAGGCTCTGCAGTTAGACAACACAGTTTGGATCTTGGCTCCCTCACTTACTTGTTGTATAACCTTAGGCAAGTTAACTGAATCTCTCTGTGCCTCAATTTCCTCATCCGTAAAATGGGAATAGTGCCGACTTCATAGAATTATCATGAAGATTAAATGAGATAATGTGAGCAAAGTACTTATGACAGTGCCTGACACAGAATAGTAAATACTTAATATGGTCAGCTGTTTTTATTATTAATCTTTTAAAAAAATCATTAGTATTTTTCTGAACTAAAGCAATAAGCTTTTGATTCCTTCTTCCGGTCTTGACCCTCTCAAATCTGCTATGATCAGTTGCCATATTAAACTGTATAAATCTATATTACTTATTTGCTTAACTCCCTTTTGCTTCTCATCACTTTCATGGCTTCGCATGCCAAATAAGACCTTCTGGCCTCTTTTTGGCTTGGTTCACAAGTTCCCAATTTCCATTACATGTCTTGTGTGTTACTTCCCCAGCAATACTGAGTTGACTTTCCTGCAGGTAGGTCATCTTATTTCATGCCTTTGTGCCTTTGCTAATAATACTGTTTCCTCCACCATCTGGCAAACTGCTTCTGTCTACCCTTCGAACTCAGCATAGGGGTTATCTTTTCCATTCTGCTTTTAGCACATTTATTATCTACTATGTTCCAAGCACTATTTTGGGTGCTAGGGTTACAGGGGAGAATGAAACACAGTCCTGACCTCCCTCATGAAACTTACATTTTAGTAAGGCAAAGCTGACAAAATAGGAAACCCAATAAAAAACATAATAATTCCTGATACTAAGATGGGGCTGTAGTGCCTTAAGTAGATAAACATGGGCATATGAGAGTGACAGGCTAGAGACTGGAAGTAGTCCTGCCAGGAACTGGGTTTACTGCATAGTGAATGTTATCACTCTGATACATAAACCTCATGTAAATGTTTATTCTCTGTAACAAACTCGAGGACACAGACCACCTGGGAGATGTTTGGTGAGTATGCCTTCTTGAGTCACCCCTAGTTCTTCACAGGAAGAACTGCATGGATGGTGGCAGTATCTGCTGCTGGAAGCCCCAACTCCGCATTCCCAGCAACATCACCCCAAAACTCCAGCATAATTACCTTCTATGGATGCCAATGATACCTTTTCCCAGCCTTATTACTTGGATGTATCATCTAGTATGTTATTGATTTTAGCACGTTAATTTGGACTCCAATAATCTTTCTCAACTCATTAGTTTTAATGGCTAGTTTATAGATTTCTACTTAAGCAGGTAACTATACCATTTTTAAAGAAAGGCAATTTTGACTCTTTCTTTTGTAATCCTTAATACCTCTTTTTCTTGACCTAGTGCTTTGGTTAAGGCCTCAGATATTATGTTGAAGAGTAGAGAGGATAACAGGCATACTTGTTTCCTCATACCACAATGGCTTTGAGTCCAGGCTCTGCAGTTAGATGATCCGGCGATCTTTCCGCCTCAGCCATCCAAGTAGCTGGAACTACAGGTGCGCGCTACCATGCCTGGCTAATTTTCTGATTTATTGTAGAGATGAGGTCTCACCAAGTTTCCCGGGCGGGTCACAAACCCGTGGGCTCAGGCAGTCCACTCACTTTAGCCTCCCAAAGGCGCGGAATTATAGGCTGAGCCACCAAGCCCGGCTTCATTATTTTCTTAAGTCATGAGTGAGTATTGAATTTTATCAGATGTTTTCTGTTTCTCTTGAAATGTATAAATTTCTCCTTTACTTTGTGAATACAGTGCTGCGGCCAGCCATCTTTTCCTTAAAGAGCCAGAAAGTAAATCTTTTAGGATCTGTAGGCTATATGATGAGTTCTCTGTCATAACTACTCAACTCTGCCATCATATCATGACAGTAGTCATAGTAATTTAGTTTGTATTTTTTAGCATGTGTTATCTTTACTATTATATCTTTATATAATATCTTTAAACCATTATGTTTTTAGATAGTATCTTTCAATTTCCTATTATGAACAATGATAAAATTAGTTCATTTTTTCTTTGCTTAATATTTTTTTTATACTCAAAACACCATAAGACTAAGGATCACATCTGTTTATGGTAGCCCCAGGAACTTGATAAGTATTTATTAAAGGAAGAATGGACTACATTACATAGAAATAAATTCGTAGTTTATGATTCTTTTTTTTTTTCTGAGTTGGAGTCTCACCCTGTCGCCCAGACTGGAGTGCAGTGGCACACTCCTGGCCACTGCAGCCTTGACTTGCTGGGCTCAGGTGATCCTCCCGCCTCAGCCTTCCAAGTAGCCAGAACTACAGGTGCGCATTACCACGTCCGGCTAATTTTTTTTTTTTTGAGCCGGAACTACAGGTGCGTGTTACCACGTCCGGCTAATTTTTTTTTTTTTTTTTGAGCCTCAACCTGCTGGGCTCTGGAGATCCTTCCGCCTCAGCCTTCGAAGTAGCTGGAACTACAGGCGTGCGCTACCATGCCCGGCTAGTTTTTGATTTATTGTAGAGATGAGGTCTCGCCAAGTTGCCCAGGCGGGTCATGAACCCGCAGGCTCAGGCAATCCACTCACCTCAGCCTCCCAAAGTGCTGGGATTACAGGCTGAGCCACCAAGCCTGGTTGCTAATTTTTTATTTATTGTAGAGACGAGGTCTCGCCAAGTTTCCTAGGCGGGTCTC